CCAAGAAGTAATACTTCGTTCTATTTATTGTTAACCGACTCAACTTTATTATGCGTCCGTGTGTGTAGTCATTCTCAAAATACGTTTCATAATCTTATTTTCACAGATCGTCTCCCAGGACCAGAACGTCGTGATGTGATGCCATTCACTGCGCGATCTTCACCACCACGTGGTGCTAAATTGGATATGACTGCTGAGGAAAGAGATCAGAGAACATTGTTCATCTTACAGGTGAGTTTTTTATCTTTGATGTTTCATAACTTTGGATTTGATGTACCTATCATGATTCATGCCTTCAGATCGCTCGTCAAACTCGTCCACGTGATCTTGAAGAGTTCTTCAGTGCTGTTGGTAGCGTGCGTGATGTGCGTATAATTACCGATTCAAGAACGGGACGATCTAAAGGAATCGCTTATGTTGAATTCTGGGAAGAGGAAAGTGTTCCTCTTGGATTAGCTCTTAGTGGGCAGAAATTGCTGGGTAATTTATTTAGTTGTTTTCCATTGTTAGCTTCTACGTGCTTAAAGTTCCACATTTTAGGAGCTCCGCTTGTGATCCAGCGTACCTGTGCTGAAAGAAACCGTGCAGCAAACGCAACTATCGGCACAAGTCTTGGATTTGGCCCTGCTCCTTCAAAGGTTAGTTGTTCTTTTTTTTATTATTTAGTTTTTGATTCGGTTTATATGGTTTGTTTAGGGTCCTTGTAAACTTCATGTGTCACAGTTGCATCCAAATATCACTGAGAGTATGTTGGACGGCATATTTGATGCGTTCGGTCGTGTAGAGAAGATAGAAGTGGTTAAAGATCCTGCTGGGAACAGTATGGGTTACGGTTTTGTAACGGTGAGGTCATACTGTTGATATTATATTCCATATTGTGCTGTCGTCTAAACATTGTTACTGGCATTCCGCTTTTTTAGTTTAAACTGACAGAAGATGCAACAAAAGCTATGGAACAATTGAACGGTTTTGAGATTGCTGGCAAACCAATCAAAGTTTCAGTTGTTGACGAGGTTGGTCAACCTTTTCTTGGTTTTAGATAGTCAAAGTTTGAGATAATTTTGTGGCAAAAGCTAATATCAATTCCCATTTGAGGATGAGGAGTCGATACGACAACGAAGTTTAGACGACGTTGCCGACGAGAAACAGGGTCTTGCACTTGGCCAGGGTGGACGTATACAACTCATGGCGAAACTTGCACAAGGTATGCCTTTATAAGATATCCCGAGGTTGATTTTTCTCCAATTTTCCTTTTATACCAGGGTTTTTGGATGTCAAGAGAAAGATATATAGTCTAGAGTTTTGATTTTAGGTACTGGAATTGAACTCCCTCCATCTGCTCAGCAAGCCTTACAACAGCAAGCTGCAGATCCCACTATTCCTGCTATTGCCACCCAATGTTTCATGCTCTCAAATATGTTCGATCCTAGAACTGAAACTCGTCCCACGTGGGCGACAGAAGTGCGAGATGTGAGTCTTTTGATGTTGCATTATGTATAATTGCTGACCATGAAGAATTTTGCATTTAGGATGTAATAGAGGAGTGTTACAAGAATGGGGGTGCTCTTCACGTGTATGTGGATACCGCAAGTCCACAAGGAAATGTTTATGTGAAGTGCCCATCAGTTGCAAGCGCTCATAAGAGTGTATCCGCACTTCATGGACGATGGTTCAGTGGAAAGGTGGGTGCTTAAAAAATATAACCTCATCACTTGTAAAAGCCATTCATTTGAAATATAAACATAAAGTTTTCCAGGTGATCACAGCGAATTATGTGCCCGTAACGTCATATCACGAACTCTTCCCGGATGCTCTAGTTGCTAGAAACATCCTAGTCCCAAAACCCAGCGATCAGCTTACGGGTGCTCCTGTATCAAACTTTGCCGCACCACCTCCTCCTACTATGTCCGGATACGGAGCCCCTCCTCAAACCGGTTACTATTAGAAGTTGTTACTGCTTCGTGTAAAGAGAACTGTATTGTTTTTTCAACATAATTTGGCCATAGTGCCGCTCTGTTTTTCTTTTTTTTGAAGTTTGACATGTTTTGTGGCGTTAATCGATCGTTCTTCACACTTATTGAAAGTGTGATAAAAACTCTTCCCACATTTTTCGCTTCCTTTTCCTTGTTGATGTCTCAATGGTCTCCTTGTCTTCGAATAAAGTATGTTTGTGTATGGTATAGTGTTTAACAGAAGGATGTCAAAAGCTAACATCAGCTACAGGTTACGTGATGTTTCAAGAACACAGCAGTCTTCAAATTCGTTTGCACGCTGTAAAACAGTGAAGTTCTTGGAAAAAAAAACTGCGAATATAGGCCCTTTTTAATGCAGTTCGATGTTCTTTGAGTCATACTTGGTTGCTTTGCTCAAGCATTTTGGAACACCCTAAAATCTTACCACTTGGTGAAGTGAGTTTTATGTGGCATTTATCCCTAACCAAACAAGGGAGCAGTCAGTTTTTGAAAGTCTTGCTTTCAAAAAAAAAAACTTTCAGGTTATTGGATGGGATAGAATAGTGTATGGATTATCGTTCTCCAAATGTCAATACACCTATTTTTCAGTTGAAAAACAAATTTTACTGCTAATCCTTTGAGTTAATTCGCTATTATGAAAGCTTTACACACACTTTAGCAATAAACTTTTATTCACGTCACATCTGATTTTCGAGAAATTGTAGTTGAATTAGGACCTTCTTGGTGCACAACATACGCACTGGACAGCCTTGTTCTTGTTGTTCTGAAAGAATAAAAAATTAAGATTGAATTAATCAAAAAGGC